GTGAAAGATTCAACGGAAGAGCTCGGTAGCAAAGTAACAGCAGCACAGGATAAAATCAGTAAGCTCCAAGGTAGGATGGAAAGAAACCTCTAGAAAACAGAAGATAGGCTAAATAGTGCAGGAAATAAGCATCTGCCCTGCATGTGGCTGACACTGCATATGGTGCTCTGAACACCATCAGGAGTGATTCCTGAGCACAGAGCCAGGAGTAAGCTCTCAACATAGCCAGGCGTAGCAAAATCAATCAATCAATAAATAAAATTCTTCCACCATAATTTTATCCTTTAAGATTAGTCTCCCTCCTCCTAAGTGTTTTGGTTCTGGGCCTACAGCTGGCTGTACTCAAGATTTACTCTGGTTCTGTGCTTAAGGATTACTTCTGGTGGGCTCAAGGGAACATTTGGGGTGCCGGGGATCAAACCCTTACTAGTTGCATGCAAGGCAAGCACTGTACTATCTCTCTAGCACCTTTTCTTAGGAAGTTTTACAACAATCCCCCAGATTTTCTCATTCTTCCTGAATAAAAAACATGGGCTTGTTTCACTGCTTTTGGTATTATGAATTACAAGAGGATAGTGAAAGACATAAAAAGGTCCACATTAATAATTAATAAGTTATTAATAAGTTTTGTTTCCTGTATGAGATTATAACTCAGTGGGAGAGATTATAACTCAGTGGGAGAGCACTTCCTGGTATGATCCCCAACATGCAAAAGTAAATACAAGAGATAATTCTTGGTTCCCCAGTAGCTTAGTAGTTTTCTTGCTGAGAATGGAAAAGATTAGGATGAAGCTGTATGGAGACATCTGTAAACTTAGAATTTAATTGCCATATCACCCAGCAATTCCACTTTAAGATTTCTACCCCCAAGACATAAAAACACTTATCAAATGGACATACACACCATTATGCATTGCAGCATTTAGTACAATGGCAAAGATATGGAATCAACCTAGGTATCCAACAACAGATGAATGGATTACGAAGATGTGGTATGTGTATATATATATATATATATACACATATACACACACACACACACACACACACACACATATCCTGTCCTGTCCTCCCGTTGTTCATCGATTTGCTCGAGTGGGCCCAGTAACGTCTCCATTGGAGACTTTGTTGTTACTGTGTTTGGCATATCGAATATCACGGGTAGCTTGCCAGGCTCTGCCATGCAGGAGAAATACTCTCGGTAGCTTGCCGGGCTCTCCAAGAGGGGCGGAGGAATCGAGGTCGGGTCGGCCATGTTGGCTGCGTGCAAGGCAAACGCCCTAGTGGAATAGTAAGCAGCTGCAAGGAATGATGAAATATGCAATTTGCTGCAATCTGGTTGGAAACAGAAGATAGGTTGAGTGAATCCACAAAAAAGAAAAACACATGATCTCACTTATCTGTGGTATACAAAACAACTAAATAAGGAAATGTATTGTAATAAAGATTGGATGCCTAAATCACCCTTGATTCCAGAGTTTAGAGATAAGGACAGATAAAGATATCAAGGTGGAAAGGAGAAAAAGAATTGGCAAAGAGGGGTAGGGGCATCAGTTATACTGGTGACATGGGAGAATGGTATAGGTATATATCCAAAATACGGACACAACACTGAATACATATCTAAGCTGCAACCACCGGAACTTTGTAATGTGCCCATGCGGTATGGGGTGGGAGAGTAAGTGAGAATGGAATATGGGAGTGGGGGGAATGGGATATTGGTGGGGAAGCAGAGGGGATAGAATATGGGAACACTGATGGGGGAAGCTGAAACTAGTAATTGAAATAGTATATTGGTGTTGACATAGTATATGCCTAAAGCTCAACCATCTGTAACTGTAAATAAAATCTTTCAATAAAAAACTAAGAAAAAGTTAAATTGAGGCCTTTGTTTTCAGCCTTTGTTTTGGGACCATAACCTGCTGTGTTCAGGGTGTACTCCTGATTCTGCATTCAGGGATCACTGCCTGGCAGGACCATGGGGTGCCGGGGATCAAACCTGGGTCAGCAGCATGCAAAGCAAGCACCTTACCCCCTGTCCTCTCTCTCCAGTCCTGCACTCAGACTACTTATACCCAAGGAGATCTATAGACCCCAATCTACCTATAACCTCTATATCTCAGTTCCATTCTTCAGGAATTCCAATTAAGAATTTTAGTAGGCCAGTGCCCAAATTTAGGGCTTATCCTCATGATTTGAAATAAATATTTGAAGACTTTTTTGTTAATTATTACAATTCAGCCCTTATTTATAGAAGAGATTTGAGGAAGGTTATAAAAACACTAGAAAAACAAGTGGACAAAATGGTCTGAATCCAGGGACAAAGATCACTGGTTGTGTTTACAAGTTCCACTCGGCACAGAGGAAGCCTGATCCCTTGCACAGGATTCCAGAGGACCAGGAGAAGCAATCTCTGAGCACAGTCCCCAAGCACCACAAGGGTGTGATAACCCAGATATCAAGAAAAATATAGATAAATCAATAATAAAGCAGAATATAGACTCCCGTGATGTATTTGATATGCCAAACACAGTAACAACAAAGTCTCCATTGGAGATGTTACTGGGCCCGCTCGAGCAGATAGATATGCAGGGGATTAGTTCTACATACATACTCAAAGAATAGATTCATCACAACTATAGGTAAAACAAGACAATTTGCATTGCCTATAAAAAAATTGATTTTTAAATGAGGTAGAACTTTTCTTATTTCAAAATAGGTCTGAATAAAATTTTCATTTGATAGTGGTGTAATGTTCTCAATACCTTCACAAGGCAACAGCAGGTCTCACTTAGTTTATTAGATGTTAAAAAAAATCATATAGAATGATAACCTTACATTACATAAATTATGGAAAAGCTCCAAGAATAAAAATAGGCCAAGCTAAGATTATGGAAAAGACCATCAAGAGTCTAAGGCTCTTTCCCTTGGCCAGACCATAGCCAACAAAACCTGAGGTGTGCAGGTGGGAAAAACCCTACTATAAAACTGCCTTTGTGAAAGCATTGATGGTGCATTTCTCTATCTTGGAGATCTCCCACATCTCAAACTGAGATTTGTTCAACTTCTCTCTCCTTTTTCTCGTCCCCTCATATTTCTCTAAATAAAACTACCTTACTTCACTGTAGCAATGCACTGTCCTCCCATTGTTCATCAATTTGCTCGAGCGAAAACCAGTAACGTCTCCATTGTGAGACTCGTTGTTACTGTTTTTGGCATATCAAAGACGTGACTGAGAGCTTGCCAGGCTTCGCCATGCGGGTGGAATACTCTCGGTAGCTTACCCGGCTCTCCAAGAGGGATGGAGAATTCGAACCCGGGTCAGCTGCGCGCAAGGCAAACACCCTACCTTCTGTGCTATCGCTCCACCCCCTTACTTCACTAAAATAATAAAATTTTGAAATGCTCGAAAATCAAGCTTGAACTTTTAAAAAGTCGCTGGCTAAAATGACTAGCCAGTAGTATTAAACATCGAAGATTTAATTTGGTTATTCAATATGTATAAAATATTAAGTATTGTGATACCACATTTTTATCAGTAGTAACTATCAAGAAAAGGTCCTAATACTTTCTAATTTCCATGTAATTTTTGTAGTATAGTAAAGATATTGCTATCAATTACCAAGTTCCTACACCGGGCGTCTAAAATTCTAGAAAAGAAGTTGAAGACCAAGGAAATAAATAAGACAAAGGATAAAAACAAACTCTAGACCATAACTCTAGACCAAACTTAAAGCACATAATATGCAGAGCTACATCCTTTTAAGCAATAAGGGTTCTTATCGACAGCACAATAACAAATAGACTATCACCTTAGAACAGCTGAGGCTTTTCTTCCTTCTCAAACTTTTAATTTTTCTACAACGATCACTATAATTTTATAAAAGCATTTAATAATAATTAAATATTTATTATATCAACTCTTTCTAACATGTGAGGGGTTTGTATGCTTCATATTTTTTGTATGTTTCAAATTATATCTTCACTCTTACATAGATCAAAATAAGAAAATAAACTCTTAAAAAAATCCAAATTCTCTTTTTGTATATAATTTGCTTAAAAGAATCTACTTCTAAAATCACATAGACAAATGAAACAGAAAAAATGCTCCTTACAATGAATGTTTTTCTGTCTTGGGAATAGATACCAGAAAGTGGAATTGTTGGGCTGTAGGGTAGCTCAATTTTAAGTTTACTGAGAACTCTCCATACTGTTTTCCAAAGGTTTTGAACCAGACAACATTCCCAGCGGCAGAGGATGAGACTTCCTTTTTCACCACATCCCTGCCAACATCGATTGTTCCCATTATTTTTGGTATGTGCCATTCTCACTGGTGAGAGATTGTATCTCACTCTCATCTTGATTTGAATTTCCCTAATGATAAGTGATGGTAAGCATATTTTATCATGTGCCTGTTGGCATCTGTTGATCTTCCTTATCCTCACTTGTGTTCCAGAACAGGATTTGAAAAGTGAAAATAAGACCAAATAATTTTTGTTTTGGAAGAACACAGTTAGGTCGTGCTCCACAGAAATTATCACATAATTTTTTAAAAATTTATATTTCATTTAACAACACTAAAGAATGAGGTATATAAATGTTTTAATCACAGACTTTTACTGTATGCAATAACTATATATTACAACTAGCATCTTACAAAGAAGACAGTACCATTCTGCCGAAAACTTTACTGCCATTAAACAGAAAATTACATCACCACATGAAACCACCAAATATTACAACTTTAAGGGTCTACAGTTTTATTTTTTCTTCAAATACTATCATGTTGACTTTTGTGTCCAAGTTTCAAGTTCATTTGTACTTCAAAAGCCTCATATATATGTGTACATATATATATATATGCATATATATATATATAAAACAAACAGCTAAAAGAAAGCAGAAGACCCTAAAAGAATTTGAGTACTATGTGGTTTCTAGGCTGATTTTTTAAAAGAAAAATAAAACAATTTATTAATTTTAAACAAAAATGCAAAATATGCTGTCACAAAAATATTTTATTGGTAATTTTACATAATGATGAGTGGGGCGATAAATACTCATTTATTTTTATTTCAAAGTATTGATAAATGCTTAAGCTGGTAGTTACTTGAAAATAGGGCACTATAATTTTTATAATAACTGCCATACTTAATGAGGCCAATCAAACTAATTTAACATTATTTCCCATATCTGCAAGTTACCATTTTCTCTATTGATTAGATTCACCCTTCTGTGACCCTGGACAAGTTTGAGGGATAAAATTATTGAATTAAAACTTTATCAGAACTGAAGTTTTTTAAATACTGCTAGTTTCTCTTTCCAAATATTATGCCAAATGCTTGGAATAATCTTAAATTTCGTGTTTAAACAATACAGAAAATACCAGTGTTCAATGACCATAGTACTAAACCTGAATTATAAAACTATTTATTGTTTACTATTCTACTAGTAAACATTACAATAAATGAATGCTTTGAAAGATAAGCAAAAAAAAAAGATATAACCAGAAACATAAGTCACCAACAATAATTTAGTAAAATGTGTCAAAAACATTGGCAACGGTTTATACAAATTCTTTATTTAATAACAATTTTCCTATTTAACCACACCAAGTACCAGCAGGTGTATTTATTTAAGAGGATAACTATAAAGAAAGTCTTGTTGCAGCAATAGTTGATTAAGTCGATCTGTAACTTGTATACATATACTATTTGTTTCACAATTCTCAAATAATACATATTTAGGCAGCTTGCACTATGTTATAAAATTTTTAATTTGTTACATGCCAATAATAGTGAATTTAAGAATTATGTGCTAGAATTCACTAAACTAAAAGTGAAAACAGACTTACCAATAACACTGCATAATGAATAATTCAACCACATTTTCATGGCACCTTTTATCAAAATGTTTAGACCAAAATGTTTATTCTGGAAATGTTTGGTAGCTGTAATTGCAGTAAAAATCTAGCAGGTTCTAACAAATTTCTACTTTATGCAAAACTCAAATTGTGAGTTGTACATGAATATTTGTCATGAAAATGTGGTACTTCTTGGCATAATCTGTGTATCTGCATGGTGTGACAGAGTGACTAAGAAGTTGGAGAAAATAAACTTTAATGAGATTCTCCATTCAGTGATGAGGCTTCTCCTCTGGGTGAAGATGATCTAGACATTCCTCTCTCTGTGTTATCAGAACTGGAGCCACTCTGACTATGTTGATCTGCAGAAGCAGCACTAGATGCAGGAGGTGACTTCGTTTTCTCCTTAAAGTCCGTAATAATGACTGTCAGATCTCCAACGGTAACTTCCAAATGCTGAGCACTACTCCGATCCACATTTTTCAATCTTGGCCTAAACACAAGAGATGATGAAATTTTAAACTAACTCTTCCTCTTCACTCTATCAACTTTCTGAGCATGCATCACTAATTAGGTAAAAACAAAGCAAATATATCATTTTTAGAGCTCTAGAATCATGCGCAGCTAGCTACCCAAAATAAAAGTAAAAAATCTCTGAAATCATTAGCAGTAATCAAATCATTCAGAATTTTCTTTGTGACCAAACAAAACATCTAAGATACTATGGATGTAATAGATCTCTTTGTACTTTTAAGTTCACAGCTATTTAGACAACCTTATTAAAATAAATGTTTCAGAAAAAGTGCCGTATCACAAAGGAGCAAAAGCCACTTAAAGTTAAGTGAAGGACAGTTTACTCCACTGATATCTATGAAAAACAAACAGAACAGGCAGACTGATAGTTCCATGTGGATCCAGGATTATACTGATGGTCTGAACAAGCCTTTGCAAGTATGTTTAATACTGTGAATATCCTGTCAGCTTTATGAATAAGAAAGAGCTCAAACATGAATGTCCTTTAAGAAAAAGTATTTTTAAGCATTCTCACAATTATACTTACTTCTACTTTGCATATATCAATATTGATAGAGCATACTAAATGATCATAAAACACTCTTCAAATTTACCTTGTTTTCTTATGACTGTTCTTTTTGCTAGTTGTTTCCTTTTCACTTTTTTCTTTCTCTACTTTATCTTTTTTTTCTTTCTTTGACTGTGTAGGGGGCACAAACTGCTGAGTAACCTGCTGTGCAACCAACTGCGAGACAGGTCGAGGTTTCCTGTGTGCATGTTAAAAAGAAAGGTTTTTAATTATTATAATTTATGTTGAGTGGATAGCTCAAATTGTGAAAACCGATATTTGCAAGTACAAACTCCTCCTGTGTAAGATAACTCGGATACACAATTATAACCAATACATGTGTCTTTCCAATCCAACAAAAATAGTACTATAATAAAAAATGGAAGTACAATATACATAGTGAGTCCAATAATGTCTTATGTAAATCATGAAAATTATTTAAAATGTGCAGAACCAATGTTCACATATAATAGGAATTTAAAAACTAAACCTAAAAGTTTACACTAAAGTAATATTCAAGTTAATTTTTCCTCCTTCAGAGAAAGAAGTATCTAACCTTCTGTGACAGTCTATGTGTTCTCTTGTTTTAAATATTTCATTAGTTCATTTGTCAATATTTGAGTGTCAAAATTTCTCTTTTCTTACTGTTCAAATGTCTGAGAAAATTAGTCTTTCAAGGCTTGCTTACTTCTTTGACTTAATACTCCTTAAAGAATCCATACCTCCAAGCCTCTGCAGTGCAGCCAAGAGGCCTCAGAGCCCTTCTGGGCTGCAGCACTGGGAGCTTCGCAAGCACCTCTAGGATAACATTGGTTTGTGCTTTCTCCTCTGCCACAAGGAGTTTAGGCTTATCAGGTAACACCCATCACAAAGCTCCTTAAGTACCTCCATTCCTCTATGTTTATTGGAATTTAGCTCTAAACTTTTTAGGATAACATTGGTATGTCTTGTTTCCCTTGCCACAGGGAGCTCAGGTTTATCACAGTGCTCCTGAGGCACTTCCATTCCTCTGTTTACCTGTAAACTCTTCTCTGTGCTCTCACCCACAACCAGTCTATATCACCTTTTCCTCCAATCAGACTCTGTTAACTTGTAAGGTCAGATTCCTCAGAAATCTATGATTTTAAATATATGTGAATGAAATGTTGCTCTTCTCCTTCTCTTATGTCCTTTGGTACAGTTAACTTTAAAGCAATATCCTTTTTTGTACGGACACAGGAAGACAGTTAAAATTATGCTTTTGTCACCTGGGAGTTAGTTGACTCCGAATAATATTCACTCCTGGGTATTTGCTTTCTCAACTTAAACCTCAATTGCCCTTAGTTTCTAGCACCCCAAAAGCTGGGTCCTGACAAGGGACTGAATGGACCCAGGGCAAGTGGTGAGCTATCCTGGTATCGAAATGGTCCAGACCAAAGCGCCACAATACTTAACTATAAGTTAAGAGGATGGTCATGGACAAATTCTGTCATGATCCAAAAAGTAACAACGAGATTAGGACTCTGCTAGGGTTAGGAAAGACTAATCTGGCCCGAGCGCAGTAGTCTGCGATCTATATAGCAAGATGCCCCCTGGAGAGCCATCATATAAGCTTAACGTATCTCTTACTGTCTCCATACAAAATGACTAATATTATGAATGTTGGACTAAGGAAAGGAGAAACACACACATATTTTGCCCTTAGACCAGTCGTCTTGCTGGATGAGAATCTATCCTAGAAAAAGCTTCCCCTGAGGGAAGGACCTTACATCCATTGATTGTATGAAGACACCTCTGTGTAATTATTATCCTAACCCTTCTTGCTTTGGGATTTAACTAAGGCTGTAAGAGTGGGCTGGAGGAGGCAGAAGCAGAAAGGAGAAGTAGGAAGGAGCAAGACCCAAGAGGAGGATGAGGGGGATCAAAGAAGGGGGATTGGGAGGAGGAAGAGAATGAAAATGGGAATGAAATAAACCATCTGACACCAACCAGCCGGGCCTTTGTCTCTACCTTTGTCCCCATAACCATGGGCCACCCCACGGTGAGGGAAGTGGCATGAGACCACCGAATGCAGGTGGCGAGAGAGAGAGCCGCCGCGGCCTTTCGTAATTTACTCTTTGATTACACACACACCCTGCCCCACAGGGCACCAGCATCAAACTGCTGGCCAGCTTGGCCAATTACTATCAGGAGTAATCCCTGGCCTTCCAGAGCACCAGTTGGGAGCTCCACCCTAAATACTTCTAAGGGTCGGAGAGTACGATGGCTAAGGCCTTGCCTAATATCTAGCTGCGTCCTTGACCCTGATTCAAATCCGGGCACCACATATGCTCCCCCAAACACTACCAGACATTGCCCCTCAGCACAGAGCCAGGTGTGGCCCTGAGCACTACTGGATGTGTCTCAAAATCAAAGAAGCAGAAAACATTGAAATTTACTGCAGGAACTGCATAGAGATCTAGAATTGCCTGGCTTCATATGTGATGCCAGTACAAGCTTTACTTACAAGCTTAGACCTTGTGTCACCCTTTGGTCTAAGGTCAGAGAATCCTTCAGTTTTATGACAGTAGAACTTAGGCAACTAGGGCCAAGATTCAAAGTAAAAGAAGTCTCTAGGTTCTTAAAATGAGACAAAAGAAAAAGAACAAAACATTGGAAGGAAGAGGTGGCAGAAAAATAAGATGGGGAAATTAAAAAAAAAATTTTAATATATATAATTGAGGGTGAGGACACTGTACCCAGCTGTATTCGGGGCTTACTTTCTGAATATATGTTCAGGGATCACTACCAGCAGTGCTCCAAGTTGAACCCAGGTCGGCTGCATGGATTTGAACAGATGGTCTATAAACAAGACATATTACTTGAAAATTCCTGAATCTATTTTGGTTCTGTACAATAATTTAAAGGTTTTTTTTTGGGGGGGGGGGGGTGGTGGGCAGGGCAGGCCAGAGAGAGATTTGAGTATCGTAGGTAAAGGAAGGAACTTGCCTTATATGTGAGCATGACCAGGAATGATCCCTAAGCAGAGAGCTAGAAGACCTGAGTCCAAAGCCAGGAGTAAGGCCTGAACACCCCCAGGAGTGGCCCAAATCCCCCTCCCCCTCAAAAAAAGTGCTTTATTATACAGTAAAACAAAATAAGAGGAAAAATAAATATTACACTCTATTTTAAAATGACAAATTGCAACTAATATGAAATTTTCAATATTACACAATTCAACACACATAAAGAAAGAATTCTTTGAAGCAAGAACGAAAGAATATAATATGTGAAACATTTCAAAAACTAGATACTGTAGAAAAGGAAACCTGGATGATAAATTTCTATCTTGCAGGAAAGATATGTTTTATAAAGATGACCAACATGTAACTTACAAGTAGAATTAACATAGAAACTAGGGTGCAAGATGCAAATAAGAGTCATACAAATTAATATAATACTGAAAGAAGGTTAAGGTGATTTTTAAAAAGAACTTTAAAAAGAAAAGGATTAAAGTGTGGTTCTTGGGTCTGGGGATACACCTCTGTGGTAGAATGTATGCCTTGCATTTATGAGGCCCTGTATTTCATCCCTGTTACCGCAAAAAGGGGGGAGGGTTCCCAAATATAAGATAACTGAGCTTACTTAGTTTTCATCCCAAGGATTTCTTATTCAGTAGGCCTTGGAGCCCATGAATTTCCATTTCTAATTAAAGTCTAAGTTATACCAATTCCTGTAGCTTTGAAACCGCACTCAAAGAAGATAGAAGTACAATGCATTATATTGGTATAATATTTCATTTCTAGAATGAAACTGAAGGAAGGCTGAGAAATGACAAAAGGTAGGGCCTGGTATGTCATAACTCAAAGGACCAGAGCAGCCTCTGCCCAGTGTGCACAAAGCCTGTGGTTCTGTCCAGGGACTGCATGCCCCCATCACCAAAGGGGGAAGACCTGGAGGCACCATGAGCATGAACTGGAATGACCCTGCTGGCTGCCCAGAACTGCCAGGGTGTCCTGCTGGCCCCCAAGGTCATCACTGGCCAAGGAGTAAACTATGAAATGTGGTTAGCGGAGTATTGTCTAGAGCAGCCGCCAGGCCTCCTGGTGTATCCTTCTTGCTTTCAGAGAAACGACGCCCCACCCACCTCATGGGCAAAACCAAAAGAAGAAAAAAAAGCAAGGTCTAAGAGAATACAGTGGACATGGTGCCTGCCTTCCACGAAAGTCAGTCCAGGTTTGACTCCCAGGACGACCTATGTTCTGTGAGTCATGCCAGAAATGATCCGAGTGCGGAGTCAGGAGCAAGCCAGAGTAGGAGAAGAAAAAAGAAGAAACCGCAGAAGAATCAATAGGAAGAGACACACTAATGAAAAAAACAAAGTCTATTTATTATTTACCTTTAAAAGATGGAAGATCTCTGAAGAGATTCAGGTTTAAATGTTACAAAACTTACAGATGGGGGTAGGGGGAAATTACAATAAAAATACAAGGGAGGGGGCATGGTGCTGCCAGCAGGTCAATTTGTACCTGTGAGGCAAGTGCATCAGCTTTCAGATACCCCAAAATTGCTGCTGTGCCTTTGGCCAGACCCCATTAATATTCTACTATGTTTATTGTAGCACTATTCACAATAGACAGAAGCTGGAAACAATCTGATTGCCTGAGAACAGGCATATAGATAAAGAAACTATGGTATATCTACACAATGAAATATTACAAAGCTGTTAGGAAAAAAGAGGTCATGAAATCTGCCTGTAAATGGATAAACTTGGAGAGTATCATGCTGAGTGAAATGAGTCAGAAGGAAAGAGACATATATAGAATGATTGCATTCATTTGTGGGATATAAAAAAAAAACCAGTATGACACTAATACCCAATGCCAGGGAAACGAACCAGGAGGACTTGTCAATGGTTGGTCAACGGTGTGGGGGATGGAGGGTAGTTAAGATAGAGGAGGATCCATTATGACACTAGTTGAAAGTGATCACTCTGGACAAGAACTAAATCTTGAAAGCAGATAAAAGGATATACACGATAACCTTTCAGCATCTGTATTACAAACCATAATGCCTAAAATGAGGAAATGGGGGCGGGGGGGGGAGAGAGAGAGAGAGAGAGAGAGAGAGAGAGGAGAGAAAGAGATGCCTGCCTTAGAGGTAGGCTGGGGTGGGGGGAGGTGGCTTGAAGGGGTGGGAGGGAAGCTGGGGACACTGATGCTATGAAATTATATGGTGGAC